TTTTTTTTTCGATAAAGGCTCCAGTCAATTTCGAGAACTTCAAGCCTTCAAGGCCCTTCTCTCTCTCTCTCTCTCTCTCTCTCTCTCTCTCTCTCTCTCTCTCTCTCTCTCTCTCTCTCTCTCTCTCTCTCTCTGTGTATGCACCTATCCCGATGGAGATGAGAGGAATGGAGACGTGCACTCAAATCCAGTTAATGCAGCTCCGCCCGCCTACAAAACGGTTTTCCCAACCTCCCTTTGTTTCATCTCTATCACATCCGTTCCTCTTTCAAAACGCGCTTCATCTACACCCTGTCAGGCTGTCACGCTCGCTGCTGCTTGGCTCTTGTGCCCTCCGTTGCACCTCCTCCTCGCTGCTCCACCCTCCTTCCGAAGCACTCGTCCCACGGTCTCCCACCCTCTTCGTTGCCCTCTCACCTTTCCCTCCATCCGGCTGTCATCGACGGGCTGTTGCCAACGTCCTCCTGAGGCTCCCGTCTGAGGCTGTCTCATTCTCGCTCATCCATGCCGTCGCTTCGGTGCTTCTCTTCCGTCGCCCACGCCCCGTCTCCGCCTGTACCGATTCCCCGCTCCCGTTCCGTTGCACATCCCAACAAATCCCGCTCCACAAGAGCACAATAGGACCCGATTCATCCGCAGCTATGTGACACCCGCGGCCTACCGGGCCTAGGCCGCGGGCAATTCGGCCGTGGCCGGTCCGGAGCAGAAAAGGTCAGTCCCGGCCGGTCCGCGACTCCGCGGCCTGCTTTTTTAATATTTTTTTTATACCCCTAAAAATACGTTAAAAAAAAGAAAAAAAAGTACAAGGTTGGAATAAGGCTTCGTTTAAGATTTAAAAAATAAAATAAAAAACGAAATTTGATTTAAACAAATTATTAAAAAATAAATGAAAAGAAAGCAAGAATTTTTTTTTGTCATTTTTTATCATGAGGGACATGGTCGCTGAGTTCTCCTGTATTTTTCTATAAATGTTTCAGGTTTGTGTCAGGAAATTGGGTGTTTAAAAACAATTAACTTAAAGATGCAAAAATTGAAAACAAATAAAGAAAAAAAAGGGTCAAGCTGGGGTTGGTGTGTGTGTGTGTGTCCTCTTGTTTGTGTATGTGTGTGTGTGTGTGTGTGTGTGTGTGTGTGA